TCATCCACGACTGTATCGTCATCCGTGACTGCATCATCATCCACGACTGTATCGTCATCCGTGACTGCATCCTCATCCACAACTGCATCGTCATCCGTGACTGCATCGTCATCCACAACTGCATCATCATCCACGACTTTATCGTCTTCCTCGACTGTATTGTCTTCCTCGACTGTATCGTTATCAACGAGTGTGACGGCCTCCACTTCTTCGTCCACTTCTTCGGCCACTTCTTCGGCCACTTCTTCGGTATCAACGATTGCGACGGCCTCCACCTCTTCAGTCACTTCTGCATCAACGACAACGGCTCCCATAACCAGTTCTTCCACGACATCAACAATGACTTCCAGCACCACCACATCTGCCTCTGCCTCCCCTACCTCGGTGACATGTGGCAACAACCAAGTTATATCTTGCTGCAACACTCAAACAGATACGACGGACGCGAACACGGGAGGTCTGTTGGGCATTGGAAATATCCTGGGAGGCCTGCTTGGATCGTCTTGCTCTCCATTGGACCTTGGAAGTAAGTTTTCTCTCCGCTCGCTCACTCGCATTGATCATGTCACACTATTTCTAGCGTCACTCACTAACAAACTTGTCTCTTTTTGCAGTTCTTGGTGGCGGGGTTTCCGTCGAAGATGCCTGCGGAAGCAATGTTGCGGCATGCTGCACGGGAGACTCAAACGTAAGAGACAAATCGAACTCTCCCTGTGTCTGCTCTATTGAATTTCTGACCTTTTGTTTGCTTTTAGGGAGGACTTCTTAACCTTGAATGCACCACTCTTAACCTTCTTTGAGTCATCTTTGACTTCTAACCCGTGAGTGCCGGGATTAAGCAACATCTGTTTTGTTGAGAGGTTCATTTCTTTTTCAAATGTGATCAGCTGAGGTGGATCACCCAAAGGATTGCCAAACGGCTTCAGACGAGCCTTTGCCCTCCTACAGGATGACGGCTTTTTTTTTCTCTTGGAATTCTCCTTCCGATATTCTCTCAGATGTTTTCAACATCAAGAGCTGGGAGGGTACACGGACAGGATGAATTTTGGCTTTTACTAGTTCACTATATTATTATCAGTGTTTCCTAACATTGCCACTTTTAATTTCAGAATTTCCAGTGCCATTTTATTAACGATGGATCCTCTCACTTCCTACAGTTTCTACTTTGTTTTAATCGATTTTTCACCAACGAACAAAGTTTTCGAGTGGAATATACCTGTACTTAGTTAATAAACATATTGCCTGTAAGTCTTGTCGCCCGTCAGCAAGTATCATTATATAATACAAAAGAGCGTAAAATCTCCATCTAGTTGAGACATTTCTCGCCGCAACATGAGACCCTGGGGAGTCGCATCATAGGCATGGTGAGACGCCTCAGTCCCTGTGCACAATCCGATATCACTTTGATCGAGATCGTTGCCGGAATGTATCACCGGCTTGACTATGCTAGTGGCGGCCATCTGAGTATCAGCTTCCTCGAGGGATAACATGCTCGCAATCTCGTTATTAAACCCTGTGACCGAAATCCGGACGCAGACTCATCTCGATGGTCGTCGTAAATCGACAAGTTGATTCCCACAGATATTGATACATCGACCAATGACGTGGTTAGTGAGATCATGACCGACCCCGTCGGTACTCTTACGCTATCAGAACTTTCTCGCTACCGGGCTGTGCGCGGAAACAAAAACAGTTCACTAATGCGGAAATGTTAGATTTTGGATATTTCGGATGGCCTCTCATACCTAAATCTAGCTGGACCTGGCATCATCACTCTAACCAGGGGTTTCCGAAACAAACAACATGCATGTTACATAGTATGAACACAGCTTCGTTTTCGCTCGTGCCTTTGATACGGAGTTACCGGCGTTAGATGAGCTGCCGTAGATGCTGTTCGTTTGTACTGCTGCCGTAAAGCCGGATTGGAACGCCGATCTAGTGGCTTACGAAGGCTTGGGCGGAGGAGTAGTGACGCAGAATACACTGGGCTACCATTCGTTAGCTGATAGTAATCGCCAAACTCACACCAGCTAACCATGAAGCATTCCACTATTATCGAGTCGACTTACAACCATACTGCTCCATGGCTTGCTGAAAATGAATAACAATGTAGTCCATATCGAAGAGGACTTTATCGAGGGTAGAATCGTTAAATGTGAGCGCCTTTTGTAACCTCACATAATGGTTATAGGAAGTCTTATAGCTCTTGCAGCTTCTGTCATTAATTTGGGGAGGGATAAATAAGCAATATACTATCCTCGTTATAGCTAGTAGCTCTTATACAATATCTCTTCTTTCTCTATAACCTTTAGCGAAATATTAGCGCCAAACTCTACTGGGCCAGGATACTTGCTTAGTAGTTAGCCAAGCGTGTAAACCATGAATCGAAAAGTTCTTCGAAGGATGATGAGCTGAATATTGTCCACTTCTGAAGGACTGCCATGTTACCATGTGGTCTGCAGTAGTTCCATCTTGCAGTGTTTTAGTCGAAAGATTACGTAGTAGATTTATGGCTGTCATGTGAGAACTGGATCGCCTGGTCTGGCCTCTTCTCCACAGGGGAGGAAATCTCCAAAGTATGCTGATAAGCAACCACTCGGCTTGTCATATGAGTATTCAGATCACCAATAAATAGGACTGAGATAGTGGCTGCCGCTCCAAACGGATTGTTAGCAATGAGGACAGCCCGTAAAGATCCGGACTAGGCCCACTATGCCTTAAGACCGGCCGTAATAATGATTTCAGGGGTGATTCCTGGGTTTGCAGTGATGGAAGCTGGCTTGGTCAGCAATGCGGTAATGAAACCCGACACTAAGGCTGGTGGCAAGCTTGCTTCGACGGGGTGCTGTCTAACTAAGGCTGGAAATTTTGCTGTGAGGTTTGTTGAGAAGATGTTGCTATAGATGCTGCAGCCAATCGTGCCTCCCAAGATTCGAATCGCTAAGGTCAAAGACACCGTGGTGGCTATAATATCGTTGGGGGTAGTAATGATGGCCACTATGTCCACTGGGATGTTTGGTCCTCCTGTCCCTAACCCTGCTAATGCAGCGATAGCGGTCACCGTTCTTGAATCCGTCCGATCCCCCAGGATAAAGAGATCACCTGAAAAAGCTTTAAAAGGAACTAGCAAGAAGTGAGTCATATTCAGAAGTACAACTCACTCATTAGAGCCCAGAAGCCGGCCATAATCTAAGGAATAAACTGTGGGAATCGCGAGAGCAAAATGTTTCTAACGGTGGCACCTATTATAGTCAGAGTCGGAAAGGGGATGCTCCTCTCCCCGATGGTGAGTGGGTCTGTGAAATAGACTTTCGTGAAGTAAATTGGGCCGAAGTTGATGAGGCTGTAGTAAATCATTCCGGCAACAAATGCGACGACGAACGTTATTATGACAGCTCTCTGCTTAAAGATCTCACGGGGTAAGATTGGATATCCTGTACGAAAATTTCTCTAGAATACGAATCCTATCATGGCAAAGATCTCAAATAACAACGAGCATAAAACGCAGGCACTGTCCCAGATATGCGTGTAGCCGCTGGATTAACAAACGACGAGGCTGAAGGTGGGTCATTGTTAGCCAAAGACGGAAGAGGTCGCGTACGGAGGCTCGCCTACAAAGGGTAAACCCAATGATCAGCAAGGCTCCTCTGACCCGGTCGATTCGTTTCAGGATCTCTTATTTGCTAAGCCTACCCATTTAGGAATGCTTTGTGGGAAAGTACGCGAGAGTAACATCAACGAATGCTGCGCCTCGGACGATACTAATACTGTACTCAGCGGATAGTCGAGACATCTACAGCATCTCACTTGGCGCCCAAGTAGTGATCCCATATTTGCACTGAGTGCCTCGATCCCTGTTGGTAATTGTCACTATAGGGATCTTAGTTGCCGTCGCGTCAAAGTCTTTTCTCTTATCTCTATCTACTCTGCTTTCATTTCTAGGCTATTAGGCTGGGACTGATGTGGCCGTATAGTTGATCGAATGGTTCTTGTTTCGGCAACCCTAACCTAGCTAGCCTAGACCCGAAGATCTAGAAGGACGCAAATATACTCCCGTCTGGGATCCCGGCAATTTATCACCATTGTCGTCAGGTGGGGTCCTATTGTCTGTAGCATGGATACTGCTTGGTACACTGGACCCCTTGGAAGGAGAGCTAGCGGTCTGGCCTGGGAATTAGTAATTGTTACGGCACTCGCTGCCTATACTCCACTCCGAGCTTTAGAAGCTAAATATCGTGGACACCTCTGATCAGGTAAACCTCTCACAGCAGGCGGTTATATAGTCGGTCTAATGCGTCTAGATTACTGTGGTCAAGTCAATCTGGCCGACAACATACTTTATCGCGTAGACTACAAATACAAACCCGTCCAGCATATACTCTTCCCTCAATACCTCTTCTGTCACCAATACACCCATATACTCTCGTCAGAATCGTTGTGATTCATTTTCAGGTCCTTTAATTACTGAACTTATTCCTCTCTACCATACTACCTTCACAACAACGTGAATAATGAGATCGACTTTCCTCAGCGTTGTCTTGGTCACGCTTTCTCCTAGTATATAAAGTCTATCAGGTGCTATCCATGATTTCTTTGTTTCACGACAGAGAAAGTGCATTTGTATGAAATTCTATTCGATGAATGCACACTTGTTCGACTTTAAAAGTCTAATGCCTCGAGGGATCGGTCACTCCTCATTGTCCACTGTGACCCTACAAACTCTTGTACTCCTACGAGTGGTTTCCTTAAAAGAAACCTGGCATTTCCTCTACCACCTATTTGAGTTCTGGTTAGCGAAAGAGCCCAAAGTGTGCATCGAAAAAGAGAAGATGTGGCTACTACTAACCCGAAAGCTTCTTCAAAATACTCTAGCCCTCTCTTGCCCTTTCTGAGAGCCAGGTGAACCGCGTCACGAGCCTCATCTGCCATTGCCCCCGGTCCACAAGTAAGCACTGCGATTCTACCACCTCGAGATCCTGCAGCGTTAACCTCGTCGACAATACTCGTAACAACCGTCTTGATGTCAGGTCGAGTGGTCGAAATCTCCAAATCTCGACTCAAGATCAAATGTTCATCTAGCTGAGGTTCTTTGGGTGGAGTGTTTGCCCTTTTCTCCCGCGTAGCGTGGAAACTGAAGTGCATATCGTCTCGGTTCAGGAAGGGTCGCAGTTCGTGACTTGCAATGTCACGAATCATGGCCGATTGCTTCGTTGCCCAGACCACGGTGATGTTGCGTGTCCGCGTGCCCTTTTCACACGACGCCTGATCAGTGGAGACTGAAAGCGCTTTCAGGTAATCTTGTAGATAGGGAATGGCACCTGCAATGCCGGTGCCACCGGCAATGAAGATGACGTTTTCAAAAGCATGAAGCTGGCTTCGATGACCATATGGACCTTCAACACGGAGACTGGGTTTTACAAAGCCTAACGGCCCTGCACGAGTACACTCGTCTCGAAGTCGCTTGGTCCAGCTGTTGAAGGGACGGATGAAGAAAACTAATTTCTCGCGTCCGAGAGGGGTCGCCAGAGCAACGTTTTTTGCCGGACCATCCGATGATGAAGTTGAACCTGGAGATGGCGAGTAAGAGCCTCTGTTCTCATTTAAACCAATTGTTGTGACTTCTCGCCTCTCTTTCTCTGTAAGTACAACGACCTCACTGCTAGTATCAGTAGGGGTTGAAGAGATTGCATTATGGTCGACAGTGTGCTGTGTGCTTGGATATGACGCTGCGAGTGTGAAAGGATGGTTTTCCCAGAACCTCAACCTGTTAAATTGATAAATGTAATAATGTTGACCAGCACCTGGGCGGAGCAGCTGAGAACTTGGGAAGACTTCTACTCGGATTAGGTCGGCGGCTTTATTATAGGTTGCTGTCGCAGTCGAGAACACGGGCCCGCCTGAGCGGCCAACTCGGAAGTTGCAGTACCCCAAACGGACCAGTCGAGCAACTCGATCGAAAACCCAGATGGCAACGCAAGGCCACAAGTAGGGGTCATACTCGTGGGTGGTGAAAACAAACGTGTGACTATGTTTCCAAGCGTAAGTACCAACTCCGTGTTTATCGAGGTGTCTTGGACGTACTAGAAAAGCCCGACTAGGGTGATGACGGAGAGGACAATATGAATCACTAGGAAAATCTCATAGTGATGGACACGGAGATAAATAGACGAGAACCCAAGGAGGAGGCTCATGGTGATCGTGGCCTGTAAGTAAGTAAGCTAGATGGTATTGTGTAGGGAAGAAAGATAACACATACCATTCCTCCCATATACCAATATCTCTGCTTCCAGGAGAGTGCGAAAGACCCAGCTAGAAGCGGTTAGGATGTATTTTCCAACCCGTTATATATAGGTAGATTAACGAGATCTTACAATTTATTTGAATAGCGCTCCACCCGATAGAGTGCACAATCGCTTGAATTGTTGCAATTCGCGCGATATGTCTGTGGAAGATGTTAAAGGACGAGAAGCTCCAGCCGGTCAACCAGAGGAAGATGTTATTCCTTCCCGAGAACATCCAGAGAAGAGGTAGATTAGCGTAGCTAATGATGCCTGTTCTGTCTGAGATATACCGCCAGTGTTGAATGGCCTTAGAATAGCTTTGGGCTTGTTAGTGTTGCTGCGTCCGCTCAAAGAGATAGATATTAGACATACTATAGGTTACCCTCAAACACATTATACGAGATGGCGCATAGAACGAAGTTGAGTATCCAAAAGAGAGAAATGAGAATGGTTTCCATCCGGGTTGGAATGGAACACCCCCAGTATAGGCGTTGATGGTAGGTTCCAAAAGCGGCGGGAATAATCAGATGTGCACGTAACCAGTGATTAGTAGCTTTAATCGGTGCCAAAAGAAGGGAAGACCTAGTACTTGGCGACGGAGAGTCTTCAAGTTCTTCGATATCGGCGATTATTGTACTGCGGCGAGAGTTGTAGAGGTGAGATACGAGTCGACTGGCCATACCAATGACCAAGAGACCCCCCCAGAATCCGTAGACTGCCCAACTATGGTAATTTTTAGCATTCTTAGGGTTAAAAGAGAATGGGGAAGAGAAAGGAGGGAAGAAGAGACGGTAAGAGATAGAGAAGAACTCACCCATAACGTTTGTGTAGGACATATTGATGGTCAAACTCGAACTGCAATCTGTTAGTAAATCGGTATTGTTCCTCGAACTCTAATTCCATGTGGATATACCGTAGTCCTATATCCAAGATTATAAAGGTGTTTCGTTAACATGAGGGAGGTATTCCATATCTTTGTTGGATCTTTGTCGTCCAAGTCTACCTGTGGAAGGGAGGCGATGAAATCATCGGTAAGGATAGGAAGGACTTCCGAATAAGGGATGAGCGTAGTCTCTCCATATTTAATACAGTACCCTGACAAGAGGTCGGATCCAGCTTTGATCTGTTTTGGAGTGCAATAGGTCTTTGCAGCTGCCCACATAGACACAACGCTGAGATTGTTCTGGCACAAATTCTCATAGTAAGTGAGTAAAGGGTTACCCAGTGTGAACTGCTGCAGAGCTGTCCGGATGCCATCGAGACAGTATGTGTCCTGGCCCTTAGCACACGTGGGCTTGAGAAGGAGAGTGGACGTTACAAAGAAGAAAAGTGCCTTCATCTTGCAGGATAATCAGTCCACAGCACACAGTGTTAAAGCTAGGATCTCTAAAGATACGGAGAGGTCGTGAAATATATGCCTCGGATAGGTCTCGGTCTTTTTAGAAAAATTTTCATCACGCTCGACCACTGGACGTGAGACCATTCGATCTTCTCCTTGCCTTTACAACTCCATCCGTGAAAAACCAGTATCTGGATACCTAAGACCTCGTTCCATTAGACTAGAGCCATCGATGATTCGACAAAATCTTTGCCAAGAGTGTAAGGAAACCAGAAGGATATCATTACCTTACCTGTAGGAAGGAATGTAGATCGGTCAGTCGGGAGTATTCGGTAGTTAGGGTTGCTCGTGGCAGAAAGATCAGCTGAGAATGGGAGAGAAAATCCTTCAAAATTTCGCGGTGTCTGCTTATTTGCAAGCCACTAAGACGTTCTAGCTATGAAGTATACAGCCAGACTGCAGTTTGTTGGCTTGAACTCGACAAGGGTGCTAATGGTTATGCATGACTACAGCATGGAAGAGGAACTTGCTGTAGGCCGGCCATATGCGAGAGATCGTCGACCAATTAGCGAGGCAGCGTTCAGCATAGGTAGCCACATTATGTGGGCGTTTGCATGTTTTGACTACCGAGCACGACTCGCATGCCATGGGACTCCGGTTAGCCTGGTGAACATCAGCAACGGCGAAGGAAAGAGCAAGCAGATTTCACAGTCTTCCCAGATTGATCCTGGACGTTAACACCCCCCTTATCCCAGTTCAGGTCAACATCGTTCGTTTAGTTACTCATAAAATACAGCTGGGGGATTCATTGATCTTGCTCTCAGCCATAACGTTGGGCTTGTGAGGGAAGATTCCCACGCACCTCACACCGCGACAGCGGAGGTTGCTTGTGATACCGGTGACGAAAGCCGAGAATCAAGCGCCTAGTCTCACGCGATCAGACCGGTGCATGGGGTGAGGGTCCGTACCACAAATACGCTGCCACTTCACAAGTATAGGCAAGGTGGAAAGGTCTGTCGTGGTCGGTGCCTATACATAACCGGAGCACCTCGTGGTGGAGGCGCCAAGTAAATAATCTGATAAGATTGATAAGATTAACTGGTCACCTCCATATATGACCGGGTGAGACTTTTCATGGCCATCTCATCGGCGCCGTTAATCGGCGGTTCAAAACTATTAGCTCACAAGTTCAGGTTGCCAAGTCAATCTGGTCGCTAGCCGTAATCCACTGATATCTGCCCGATATCGGCTTTTGCAAGTAACAACAGGATCGCTGGTGCTGCTTGCCTCTCCACGATCCAGGAATTCATCTCATGGCGACCCGACGTCGTGACAGTATCTGCTCAGAGAAATCTTATGCTCTTAGGTAAGAATTCGTCGCTGCCCTCTCAGAATCGCTGGCGCGCCAAGATATAAAGTTTGACTGTGTCGCCGTTGCGTCCATGCATACCCAATCCATACTATCGCTACGCCAAGAGGATCCTGATAGAATTGCTGGCTCAGCCTGGCGATAACTGAGTTTGCATTTCCGAGACTTCTTCACTGCGAAGAGGACAACCCAGACACTAGGACTCTTGGGATTCTTCGACTGGAGCGTTCCGTTATGGTCATGATCGCCATTCACACCCTGTCCAGCCGGTTTTGCGATGGAGGCTCAATGGCGGCTCAATGGCGGCTCAATGGCGGCTCCTTGGCTCATGAAGTTGTGGATGGCGAGCTGCGAGAGTAGCATCACGACGAGTTGAAAAGTGAGGGAAAAATATGAATCAAGACACAGGTCTCCACTAGCAACAAACCAAAATCAAGGTCGGGTTGTCTTGTGTTGTCTCCGAAGGCGTGAGAGCTCCAAATCCGTTGCTGTGATATAAAAGATCTGTCTTTCCTCGAGTTACAGCTTTCTTCTTCTTCAACTTCAAAGACCTGTGACCGAGTCAAGGAAACGATATAGAATCATGCTGACAATGTTCCGCAAAATTGGGGCTCTTTCAGCCCTCGCTACTGCTACCGCCGCAGCCATCGGAACCCAGGAGGGGCAGGCATTGCCCACCTTGGTTGACCTGGTTAACCAAACCCATGGATTCTCTTATCTGAATACATATCTCGAAATGTTTCCCGAAGTCAGGGATTCGGTTGCCAGCTTAACAAACATCACCGTTCTGGCACCCTCGGATACTGCGATATGGAAGTTTATTGAGACTCCACGATACGCGGAACTCGAGGAAGGTGGCGCCGACTATCTCCAGGCCCTCCTTTCCTACCACATTCTAAATGGCGTGCACGACAACATCAGTGAATATGGCCCACTCACCACTCTCCTCTCCTCACCCAAATACACCAACACCACGGCAGGCCAGGTTGTCTTCGCATACTATAACGACCATGGGTTCGAGGTCGCCATTGCCTCCGGTAACGACAGCGTTGCAGGCACCCTTGGAGGCAAGCCTATCCCGTTCCAGGGAGGTGTCGTGTACCCAATTAACGATGTCCTCACCATCCCCGGGCCTCTTTCAAAAGAGGTGTCAGGATCATTTAACGGAACGTCTTTTGTTAATGCTCTCGATAAGTCCGGGCTCACTGGAGAGATGAATGACCTCAAGGACGCTACCTTCTTCGTACCAAAAAACGCCGGCTTCGAGTCAGTCTCACAGAGCCTCTCCGCACTGAGCCCGGAGGCATTAGCGTCAATTCTCAAATACCATGTTGTCCCGGATTTCCTTGGCTATTATGACAGTTTGGAGAATGGGACTACCCTGACCACTCTACAGGGACAGAAGTTAACTATTTTCGTGAACGAAGCGGAGGAGATGTTCGTTAATGGTGCGGGAATTAACATAGTTAATATCCCAGTGGCTAATGGTATTGCCATTGTTATTGACAATGTCCTTAACCCAGAAGCTACTGTTAAGCCACCCACTAAGGATGCGGAAGACGGTGTGGCAGCTTTTCCTACTGGACAGGGCGCAGGTACCAGTGAGGGCATCACATCAACCACCACCGAAGCCGCTGTAGCGACTTACACTGGAGCTGCGAATCCTCTGAGTATTGGGGCTATAAGTCTTTATACATTAGTTGGGGCTGCTATGTTTACCATTGCCCTTTAAATGGGTTAAAAGTCAGCACGGACACTGGTAAGAGATATGGACTATATTGTTACGAGTCGGCCTGATCGCAGGCTGCATACGAACCCGTGACGACGGAATAATACAAGGAAGGATAGCCGAGTTAGCCTCGTAGAGATAAAGCCTGACACGTGACTTCTAGGAAAGGAAATGGTTGATGTGTTGATATGGCGGAGTGGTGTTGGCTACACCACCACACCATCACAGCACAACCACCACAGGATATGTATACACAGTCATTAAATAGCTTTACCACGTAGTTAACTTTCTTCACGATCATACCCATACGTTTTGGTTATGATCACTTCGCTTCTAGTATACCCGTACGCTCAGTATACTATACGCTCTCATTTCTGAGAGTCGCATCTGATCTTCCGTGTCCGACAAAAATCGCAAGCTTTGGAGAGGCCTGCGGCGTTGTCGTCTCGCTCTGGGGACTCTGCTGACGGCATATTTATATAGTAAAAAGGATTGTAAATCCTCATCCGGATGTGGCTATCCTGGTTGCCGCCTTAACCTTGGCCATGGCCGTTCGAAGAAGTCTTGGGTCCCGTCTCTCCGCATCCCCTCGGGTTGGCTGGAAAGCCGAATTCACACGCGTACGAACGCGGGTTTGTGCGGCTACATTGACCGGATACGGCAGGCCATCGCGCCAGTCACTCCTGGCTTCGGCTTCAGGCCCAGGGCTACCAGATCAAAAAGACACTGCCTCGGGTATAAGCAGACGAGTTCGCAGCTCTGACTTACGCTGGACATCTGGTTTTGAGGAGCATCTTCGCAACAGAAAGTTGTCCGCGTGTTCAATCAACACGGACAAATCTGACTACTTTCCAAGATGGCACCCATTGCATCGAAAGACCTGATCGATCAGAATGGTTTTAGTGAATCAGGCAAAGTCGTCAGCAGGCGAAGACTTTCAGAAGCCACGACAGAATCGTGGCGGGCTTCGAAGTTGAGCAAAGAGCACGATCTGGTGCTGAAGACCTTTCGCCTCTTGATCGCAGATCTGTGTCAACAATTTAAGGGCGGTCACCCTGGGGGTGCTATTGGGATGGCAGCCATCGGCGTCGCACTCTGGAAATATGTCATGGTGTACGCACCTCGCCAGCCCACCTTCTTCAATCGAGACCGCTTCGTCCTTTCGAACGGACACACCTGCTTGTTCCAGTACACCTTCTTGCACCTGACAGGGTACAAGGCGATGATCATGGAGCAACTCAAGTCATACCATTCAAGCCGGACAGACTCTCTCTGCCCTGGCCATCCTGAAATTGAGATCGAAGGCGTTGAGGTCACCACGGGGCCTCTAGGTCAGGGAGTCGCGAACGCGGTGGGTCTCGCCATGGCTTCGAAACACTTAGCTGCTGAATACAACCGTCCGGAGTATAAAATTATATCGAACCACACATGGTGCATGATCGGCGACGCATGTTTACAGGAGGGTGTGGGTCTCGAGGCGATTTCCCTTGCTGGTCATCTTAAGCTCAATAACCTGACAGTCATCTACGACAACAACCAAATCACCTGTGACGGCTCAGTAGACCTGACCAATCGCGAGGATATCAACATGAAGATGCGCGCCTGCGGGTGGGATGTGTTTGATATAGAAGATGGCTGTTTCGATGTGGAAGGCATTGTCAATGTTCTCAGAAAAGCTCGATTAACTACAGAGAAGCCTACATTTGTGAATGTCAGGACCATCATTGGCCTTGGAAGCGCGGTGGCGGGGGATGGGCTCTCTCACGGCGGCGCCTTTGGCGATACGGACGTTGCCAACATGAAGCGAAATGCAGGATTTAACCCCGATAAGTCCTTCGTCGTACCGGAAGAGGTGAAAAAGTTCTTTGCCACCGCCGTTGACAGAGGCGAACGAGTCACGGAGGACTGGGAACAGCGCCTCTCGGCTTACAGCAAAGCATACCCAGAGCTTGCCGCAGAATTCGATGAACGAAGGCAGGGAAGGTTGCCGGGTAATTGGGAATCACTCATCCCAACCTCGTTCCCAGAAAAGGCCACAGCGACCCGCGCGTCTTCTGGACTTGTCTTCAACCCAGTTGCGCAACAGATCAAGTCATTCACGGTCGGAACGGCAGACCTGTCGCCTTCGGTGAACATGAGCTGGAAAGGGAAAGAGGACTTCCAACATCCCGACCTTAGATCCCAATGTGGCATCAACGGTAGCTATAGAGGTCGATACATCCACTACGGTGTACGAGAGCACGCCATGGCTGCCATTGCCAACGGCCTTGCGGCCTATTCACCTGGGACGATCGTCCCAGTGACTTCAACGTGAGTGAGCAGAGCTCCCGAAATTTCCAGTACTTGACTGACCCGTAGACAGCTTCTTCATGTTCTATCTCTATGCAGCTCCGGCTGTACGGATGGGTGCGCTCCAACATCTGCAGGTCATCCATGCTGCCACTCACGATTCCATTGGCATGGGAGAAGACGGGCCCACCCATCAGCCGTTAGAGCTTGCCGCTCTGTACCGTGCAATGCCCAATTTGCTTTACATGCGGCCTGGTGACAGCGAAGAGACGGCAGGTGCATGGATCGCGGCCATAGGCGCTAAACACTGCCCCAGCATCATATCCACCTCGCGCCACGCGGTTCGCCAGCTCAGTCCAAAGACGAACCGTCAAGGTGCCCAACGCGGCGCCTATATCATCGAGGAAGCGCAGAACGCTGATCTCACCGTCATCGGTGTAGGAGCGGAGCTTGGTCTGGCGCTGGACGTTGCCGCAAAACTACGAGAAGAGCACCAGTTGGCCGTCAGGGTGGTCTCGTTTCCCTGCCATCGACTCTTTGACAAGCAGGATTTGGCCTATAAACGGGATACTCTCCGTCGTCATGAAGGCACACCAGCGGTCGTGGTTGAGCCGTATGTTGCTCTTGGTTGGGAACGTTACGCTGATGCAGCCGTCTGCATGAGCACAGACCGCTTCGGCCAGTCCCTGCCAGGTCCCAAAGCTTACGAGTATTTCGGTTTCACCACCGAGCGCATAGTCCCACAACTCTTGAGTTTCCTGAAAGACAAGAGAGAGGGCAATGTGCTAGCAGGAGAGTTTGTGCAGTTGAACTAATGTGTACATATCCAGGGATGTATGTCAGACATTCTTATTACCTGTGCTATCATTTCCAAGGCTCAGCCTCGCGTTAAAAGGAATGAAAGGATTATGCCTTAGGATAGTTGTGTCAGTATTCTGGCAATAGTCCTCGTGTCAATTTGCGAGGAGACAGAGTTCTCAATAGATTGTGTTGACACCTAGATAAGACGCAAGGCGGACAATGTAATTTCTTTTTCTTTCTTAAATTTGTAACTAATGTGAACTAGGAACAACTTGTTAAATACTCCCCTAGATGGACTTCCTCTCTCCACATTTTCTTCCGGTAAGAGATATCTAAACCGCCCGTGGGAATGAGACCTATGCACGGAGGGGTATGTTGCTGATCCAAAGCTCGTGACTTCAAAGGCCTCAGTTGAGTTGTTACATTAGATAGATGTGTGCTGAGCACACCGTCGACCTCGTCGCCATCGGATTGTCTCAGCACGATGAGGCTGAGACCGAAACGCGAAACAACAGCCAGAGGTCGCCCTCGCATGTACCCAAGGATGCTAGCATTGTTACTCGGTTGTGTTCCAAGGTAGAATTTCGTACAGGACTCGAACGGACCAAAAAATATACCTCACAAAAGCTACCCCAGTGGAGCAAAAAAAAATCCTCTGTTAATCTCACACGCCTGGCTCCAAGATGTTTTCCGTGGACCTCTACTGTACTCCTGACGCAGGATTTGCACCCTGGCACTCTCCCCCTCCCTCCCCCCTTTCCGCTCCAGGAGCCGTGTCCGGGAAAAGCCGAAGAAGCGGAACCCTCGCAACGCCACTTGTTCTAAGTTCGGGGTCCCCACCATCCGAAACGCGTCCGCTGGCTGTAGAGGACGAAGAACGAATTTCACGTTTCTTGCAGAGTTACGCGTGGTCGGCTAAAGAGCTCGAAACAGGGCAAGTGCAGCATCTTTGCACCTTATCAGAACGGGGAAAGCTCAACGGCGAGTCGTGCGCACCCAGATACTCAATAAGGAAGCCCCAGCCGCGCCGACACCAAGCGCGAATACCGGGGATGGCGGGGAGAAAGTCCTTGCCCAGCATGGGGAAGTCTCCTTCAACTTTAAATGTTGCACGCTCTATGCGCAGAAATGTCTATAAAATCTCCCGGCTCGCCTGTGTCTTTCGGGAATGCGTATCAAATCAGTACCAAGACAGCTGTTTTCGAGTCTTCAAGAGGTCACTATTCCTCTACACCTGACGACGAAAGACACGATCAACCTATATCACCATGTCTTTCTTGGTTGGGAAGCCCCTCAACTGGGCCATCACCGCCGCGGCGGGCTCAGGTTTCTTGCTCTTCGGGTATGATCAAGGAGTCATGTCCGGTCTGCTGACCGGGGCGGCCTTTACGAAGCAATTCCCCTCCATCGATACCACCGAAGGTGGAAATGGTTCCTCCTCCTTGCAAGGAACCGTCGTCGCCATCTACGAGATTGGCTGTTTCTTCGGCGCCTTGCTCGCTTTTGCCTTTGCAGAGAAGCTGGGAAGACGATTGAGCATCATGATCGGGTGCGCGATTCTCAGTGTTGGCGCCGCCATCCAATGCTCCAGCTACCGGGTGGCACAGCTCATCGTCGGGCGCATTGTTACAGGATTGGGCAATGGCATCAACACCGCCAGCATCCGTGGGTGAAACGCTCCTCCATTCGACCAAACGATGCTAATCTTTTGCAAGCTGTCTGGCACTCCGAGTTGATGAAGCCTAATTCCCGTGGTAAAGGTCTATCGGTCGAGTTGGCGATCAACATCTTTGGTGTGATGTTGAGCTACTGGACTGACTACGGCATGTCCTATGTGCGATCAGAGGCTCAATTTCGCTTCCCGATTGCGTTCCAGATCGCCTTCGCCTTGGCCACCATCGCCCTCATGCTCTTCCTTCCGGAGTCACCGCGCTGGCTCGTGGCCCACGGTCGGTCCAACGAAGCCCGCCACATACTCTGGCGCCTGCAACCATCGGCCAGGCTTATCGAGAAGGACCATGTGGTTATCAGTGCCGAGCTCCTCGAGATCGAGCAGGCACTTGCCGAAGAAAAGGCTGCTTCCAGTGGCGGTATCAGTTTCCTCGCCTTGTTCAAGAAAAGTCCACAGCGCTTTCGCCGCCGCACTCTTCTCGGCATCGGGGGTCAGTTCATGCAACAACTGTGCGGCATCAACTTGATCACCTACTACGCGCCCGTCATCTTCCAGAAATCGGTCGGCCTCAGCCATAACCTCTCGCTCCTCCTGGCCGGCTTCAACGGCGTTGCCTATTTCCTTTCCTCGCTCATTCCCATTTTGATCCTCGACCGACTAGGTCGCCGCAAGTTGATGCTCTTCGCCTGCATCGGCCAGGCATGCTGTATGGCGATCCTGGCCGGGACCGTTTCTGACGGCTCCTTCGTCGCAGGAATTGTCGCTATCGTCATGCTCTTCCTTTTCAACTTTTTCTTTGCGATTGGCTTGCTCGCCATTCCGTGGCTACTCCCAGCCGAATACGCGCCCTTGGCGATACGCACCAAGGCCGCTGCGCTGGCGACAGCGAGCAACTGGATCTTCACTTTCCTGGTCGTGGAAATCACCCCTGTCAGCATCGACAGTATTGCATGGAAGACTTATATCTATTTCGCCGTTTTCAACGCCGCCTTCTTGCCGGTGATTTGGTTCTTCTATCCCGAGACGAAGAACCTTAGCTTGGAGCAGATCGATAAGCTGTTCGTTGGAGACAAGGTGCTGCTGCACTGGCGGGACAGCATGGGTGACGGGACTGGAAGTTTCACGTACGCAGCAACCGAGGTCAACAACAATCACGAGATGGCCAGGAGGTTGTCTTTGGGTGTTCCTGCGTCGCAAGAAGTAGTAGACAAGAACCAGGCGCAGTGCACTCACGTTGGTGAATAAGAGCCACGCAGAATCGTGTTTGGGGGCTGTTGCACTATGGGTGATTGGAGTCGTAAGGGTTTGATGTCGAGATCAGGAGAACTCCACCTGCTGAGTTGCTGCCGCGCAGTGTTGGGACCTCTGTGCTAGTGGATTTATAGCGGTTTTGGTACCTGAAATTGTCTCAAATGACCGGTCAATCGGCCAATCAATCAACCAATCAATCGATCTCACCCCAAAATTGTTTGAGATCATCAGCTCTCCATGTTGCACCCCACCCTGTCTCTTTCTCGATGCGTGCGTAGATGTCTATGATAGCCTGATGCTCTGTGGGATGACTCATGAACTGGCCTGCCATCCAGAGGAGCTGGATGGAATTTGTCCACGAGCCATGGTGCTCATTGCATATGGAAATGGCACAAACTCGACGCGCGTGCCACAACAGTGAGTGCGAAGGGGGGCACTTGAGGTGTCGCGGAATGTACTGGAGCATTAGCATCGCGGCGGCGTGATGGAGCTGGTTCCCAGAGGTGGCCGCGCCACTGCCAAACAGCAAGGTCGGAAATGGTTGGCTGCTCGTGGCGCTGTGGGTGACGAGGGGCAGCATCTCTGGCGGACGATTCTCGTACCACTGTTCAATCACGCCAAAGAGTCTGCTCCATCTCTGGGGGAACGAGGGGTCATGCTTAGACCAGCCCGGAGGTGTGCGAGGATCCTCGTAAGTAGTCGATGCGAAGAGAAGATCGATGGTGGACGCGCTGAGGTACGAGGCATAGCAGGCACTCCAGTCGACAGTCGGACGCGACGAAAAGAATTTGACGGCGGCGTCGAAAGACGGCTCCGAAGTCCACTCGGCAACCGGGATGAGCGTTCGTTCTTTGCTGATGAGGCCGCCGCAGACGTCCATTCTGGCAAAACACCAGAAAAGTGCCCGTTCGATCCCCTCACTGTCGCCGTAGATGTGCATCGACCGGATGAGACAGGCACAGCCGTCGAGATGCCGCCGCCATGCTTTGGGAGAACAGCTCATCATTTCCAGCACGCAAATGACCACGCAAGAAGCGAGCACGGGGGTGTTGCGGAGATGCAGCTGCGCGAGTAGCAAGTGCACCGCCGCGGAGTACAGTGACAGTGTGAGGGCCGCCGGGATTGACTTGTCTTTCCTCTCCAGTTGCCGTGCGCTGAGTGCGAGCATGGCATACCGCAAATGAGCGCATGTCTTCGCCATCACCGGCAGCGTCTGGCCAAAATGACGATCCCGGTCAAACTTATCCAGCCAGTGGGCGATTTCATCAATCCAGTTCTTCCAGAGACGGTACTCTTGCTCGGCGCTCAGAACCACCTCGACCTCGGATGGGTCTGACTGATTCGGCTGGCTTTGCCCGCGAGCCTGGGAGTCTGTATGTGTTGTAGCATGACCGACTGGTTGGACGCCATGCGCATCGCGTTCTTGACTTGGCTGACGGCTCGCCTCTTTCGATCTTGCCGTGCTCAACATGTTATGCCGCAGCGTGGAGTGGAGTTCTTGATAAGTCGATCCAGGAATAAAGATGCCGTCATCGAGAAGTAGTTCTGGCGAGAGCTCGAAGGCTGGACTGAATTCCACAGGTGCCGTGAGTTGGCCGGCATTGTCAACAGCATCGAAAGAGAACCTTAAACTGCGGAGGCTCCGGCAGGATTCCATCTGAGATTGCCCCTGCTCCGGTGTTGTGTGGGCACCTCCAGCATAGGGCGGCAGCGACGTGAACGTCGTGGTCGCCGCTGCCAGGTCCTGCCGTATTGAGGGTCTGCCTGGCGCGAAATCTGAGGAGACAGGACTTATAGTCGAGATGAAGCGCTTGGCCGTGGGTTCGCTGGCTTCAAGCTCCGGGGAAGCGGCTCCGTAGGGCATGCCTGCTGGTGAAGATCGTGACACCAGATCCAGATACTGACTGTGCATCCCTTGTCCCGCTACAGCAGGCTCTTGGCTGTCGCTTGACACCGAGCCGCCACCTCCCACCCCGTCATGGTAGTCCATCAGCCCACACATGTTCGCAGGAGTTGAATCTTCGTTGATGGTGAAGGCGTTTTGCGGCAGGAAGCTCAGCGGCCGACCCCATGTGCATTTCTCTGATGTTTTGACGCAGTTGTAACAAGTGGGCTTCCCTTCGTCGCATTTCTTCTTCTTGCGACGACAGTTCATGCATCCTGTCCGGGACCGTTTATGCCCCGAGTTCGAGTTTGGCCTTGCAGCAATCATGGTGTATTCTGTTCGCATCAGCAGTTGAACGACAGGACTGTCCCGAATCTGACCTCCGCTACCGACAGGGTGAGACTGTTAACGTAAACAAAGGTCAACGTTACAGAGGAAATGAACAGTCAAAGAGCACCAAATTCGAGCCCCGCAATCCCCCAGTTTGGGAAGGGCAATTTTGCCGAGGCTAGGTCTTAACGGGAGATTCCACTCTAAGAAATTTAGGGATCTCTTCCTTGTACCTAACTATCTCTGACAGAATGAAACATACCGTAACTCTAGTAATTGAAGAGGCCTTTAATCTAATTACTAATATAATAGAAAAGATACTAGAGCATTAATTTATAATAACTTCACAGGTATAGAGAAGAACTTTTTATTACTAATATAGGATATACTATTTTACTAACTTTTAATATTAAATAAACCGTTATAAATAATGTCAAATAATGTTAAATTAAACAGAGTATACCTACTAATAGTCTGTGTTTGGGAATGCGTAGACACACTCCGCCTATTCTGTCACTGTGTCACATTATCAAGTACCTGCGAGATATTGGAAGACGGGGACATGAGGTTCAGAATATCACTTAGTGCCATCCTGGCAGTACGTGTCTCTTACATACACATCAAGCGGATGCACAATGTCCTCCGTCTACTCGCAGATCTGCACCCGTCATGAAACTACTACCGGCACCTAGGAGAAAAACAGTCGGGGCCTTGAAATCCTCAGGCGCTCCTAAACGACCTAATAGCGCCCCAGCCATCCACTTCTCCTCGACCTGGGGCTCCGCTTGCAGCAACGCGTCTGTCATGGCGGTGCGAATGTACCCTGGGGAAAGCGAGTTGACCCTGATACCATACTGTCCCCACTCTTGTGCCAGCGAGCGGGTCATTTGCTGGACTGCAGCTTTGCTCGAGTTGTAGGCGGAACAAGTAAGGCCCTGCAGCTAACTGTCAGTATTCGAGTGGCCCCAACAGGGGGTGATGAGGGTCTCGCTTACCCTGTTGGCGATACTCCCAGACATCGAAGCTACCATGACAATGCTTCCAGAGACGCCGTGCTCCACCATCTTCTTCGCCGCATACTTTGCGGTGACAAATGCACCTGTGACATTGACCTTGAGGATTCGTTCAAAATCTTGCGCTGGATAGTCCAGCGCGGGCAGTTTCTGCTGGATGCCGGCACAGGCTATTGTCCCTCTGAAAGGGGCGGATCTCTGCCGGGCCTCAATGGCAACGAGATCGAAAACCCTTTGCATTGGTCCCTCATCGGTGATGTCGCACTGGTAATAGGACAAGGAGAGCGAGTTCGCTTTTGATCGCTTTTGTAAAGCCTCCCATTCTGGGCCCACGGGCTCATCGAGGATGTCAACACAGGCCACATGACCACCCGACTCAAGCACAGCACCTGCTAATGTGATACCGAGCCCACGGGCCGCTCCTGTCACGAGAGTGGTGGTGTTCTTCAGGGAGAAGAGCGAGGGCGTGTCTTTGTTTGCGGGTGTTGCGACTGTCTCTGGGATGTGTACAGGAAGGAGAGTGTCGTTGATGAGGTTGCCATTGAGTGCCCCTGGTATTCTTTTGTCGTGGATGCTGTTGATAACAGTATCAGGCCCCAGCGTTCCGTGCGCCATTGTGCAGGTCACCAGTCCTGGAACTCTGTCACTGTAATTCTATTTTCCCCCTTCGGTGGCATGGGCAATTGAGTCGGGGTGCTGTGTAGTTGTTTTGGTTTTGTTCCATTCACAGGCAGAAGGTGAAGCAAGTTGAACACGAATCTGATGAAGAACTTTCAAGTGATTTGGGAAAACGACTACCTGTAGGTTGACATAATTCAGCCAGGCCCCAAGTCCCAGTTCAGCATGGCAACTAGAACCATTTTGGATCCACGCGCCAAACTTCACATCCCCACTCCAGGAGAACTTGGATTGCGCAGCGCGTTCGACTGCCATATCCGGAAGCTAGAGCCGCCACGGCCTTTTTCTCACTTAAAGATACTAAGCAATTTCACCTGAATCGCAATAAGGCGCAGGAGCACGACGAATAATCTAGCCTATCGTGGTAGCATCAATGATTGTCAGAGAGTTCTCGTCGAAACATGGAGTATGTAAAGCAATTGTTGCGATGCATATGCGTTGTATGGCCAGATTGGAACATAAACGAACGCTCGCACTCAGTTCCGTGCTTTCAGCGTCATTTGACCCTTGAAGCCTTACAAACATCTGAAGCTCCTTCAAGATCCAAGCAAAACACTTCATCAACGATTCTACGGAGATAGTTACCAATGCGCTCCGCGCCGTCACCCTGACCAACCCAAACGCCTGGCTCGATCCTTAACTCAGAAAGAAACTTCCTGGCAGGAACGTCGGAAGAGCTGGTTCTGCTCATCAATAATCTGGGAGGCATCAGCCCGCTGGAGCTGGGTGCTATCTTTGCAGAGGTCGTCGACCAGCTTCAGCACAACCACGACAAGAAACTGCTACGCATATACTGTGGAACGTTTATGACGAGTTTGAACAGCCCAGGCTTTTCGATCAGCCTCCTCAATGTTCGGGACCTGGGTGTACAAGGGTCCGTGCTGAATTTCCTTGATGCTGCAAGCGATGTTCCAGGCTGGCATGCGACCTCCTGGCCAACCTCTAATATCACGCCGAAAAGCTTTCGTCAGACTCCCAAAGACGTGCATCAGAGCCAATCGCAGCTGGAAACTTCCCAGGTCCATCTCAAATGTGAACTCGACGTGGTAGTCAAGCGATTGAAGGCGGGACTGCAGTCAATGATTGCATCAGAACCCGATGTGACAGAGAACGACAATCTCGTGGGCGACGGAGATTGTGGGACCACCCTGAAAAGAGGTGCTGAAGGTGACTCCCTCCCTGTGAGGACTCTACTTCCGTCAAGCTGATTGGCAACAGGTATTTTTGGACTAATCACCGAAACCAAAATCACAGCTATCGTGTCGCTACTCGATCAGAGTACGTCGATCGTCGAAAGAACCATGGACGGCATTTCTGGAGCTTTGTACTCCATCTTTCTCAACGCTCTGACGTGGTTTATCAAAAAACACCAATCTTAGGAAGATAACGCCAATGTAGCATTCTGGAGCAGAGCCCTCGCATTTGCGCTGAACTCACTGGAAAAGTACACGCCTGCCCGAGAAGGAGACAGAACATTGATGGACTCGCTGATCCCGTTTGTCAATATTTTGAAGGCAACAGGAGAGCTCAATCAAGCGGCTGAAGCCGCAATGAATGGTGCGGAAAAGACAAAGTGGTTGCACGCAAAGCTGGGGAGGACAGTGTACATAGGGGAGGAAGAAAAGTGGCTCGGAAAGATACCGGATCCTGGAGCATGGGGCTTGGCCAGCTTTCTCGTAGGATTTTCTCGTGGATGGTAAGGCCTGAGTTAAAGCTTTGCGGTCGAGATACTTCGGTGCCAGAATTGGCTCAACGAAAATCTGGACCTGGTCAACGAAATACGAGGTCTGTCGCACAGAAATACAACCCTGTGCCAACTGGCCGCTCAGCCTTGATCGGATTTTCCCACAGGCGAGTTGAGTCGGGCCAGGGCATTACCGAGGCGCCGAACGTGAATCTGCCTTGATTTCAGCTTTGCGATGTTCGTCAGCATGACACTATCGCCGATTGGTTTTATAGCCCTGTGAGTTGGGAACAGCAACCACTATTACCATCTGCGAACCACCCGCGCTCCTTATTCTTCTGTTTCATGGACCTCAGCTTTGAAGGAGAAGGCTTAAGCTGCCCTGTCCGCACTCGAAGTGTCCCAGTTACCTTTGGTGAAATCTACACCTGGCAAGAAAGGCAGAGAGTCCCCTGAGAAGGTCTCATAGGTACTTGTATTAGTAGAAACTGCTTCTAGTGACTTCAGGCGAAACAGGTTTAATTTAATATTGGAGTATGTTCTTAAGTAGACCATATACTTTAAGTTTTCTCTTCTTCAAGTATAAAAGTTAATTATTGCAACTTATCTATCTTCTCTAATTACTCTCGACGGTGCCCAGAGAAGAGGTCTTGTCAAACGAGGCCGTGGATTGTGACATAGCGGTGCTGTGAGAGATTTCAACCTTTAAGTGTAAAGCTATTGGCAGAGCATACTCCCGGGGCCAGCATTACAATCAACTGAGAGGAGGCAATGTTGAAAGCAAGCCCAGCCATTTCTAAGTCGTTTAGCGTTGTCATCCACCTTCTCTGTTCGTGACCACGATGGCCTCCGATGGGACGGCAGCTGTCTCCGCTCTTGCGTTCTCTCCCTCATAGATACTGCCATATACTCTCCCACTTATCAAGAAGCCCATATATGTAGTGACATTTGTGGTGAAGCGAGACGTAGCACTGTGGTACTATTTTATGATCGACCCTTCTCGATGTGAGTAATCTCCAACATAGGTTGACCTTTCTGATTCTCTGTAATAGTATTCACATCGATGCCGTTAACGTTTCCGGTGCAGACATAAGTCTTGAACTGTCGTGTAGGGACGCGCTATAAGGAAGAAGAGGTAAGTAGGTAAAAGGAGGACGGTGGGGACAAGGAGTTGCTTACGTTCATAAACATCTCATCAATCTCTTCCAACGTGCGGCCCTTGGTCTCCGGGACGATCCACCAAGTCAGAATAAAGACAACAATACCGATAGGCCCGAAGATGAAGCCTACTTTGGTGCCCATGTCGGCGTACTGAGCTGAAAGTAGGTATGGCATGCCTGTAGATACAAGGACACATACTATCCACGACGCCGACGCGGCGATGGAGATGGTTTTGGATCGGAGTCGATTGGCTGGGATCTCTCCCAGGAGAATATTGCTAGCAGAGCCCCAGGTGAAAGTGTACGTGAAGGAGAACAGGCAAATGCAGAAAATGAGGAAGGAGGCTGCGGCAGTGCTATTTGGATGTGCCTCAGCCACGGCCGCAAAAGAGAACATGCAGACGCCCATGATTCCGGCGCCCCAGATCATCAGCGGCCGGCGGCCAATATAGTTGATGGCGACAAAGGAGAGGAGAACGGCAACGACAGAGCACATGTTGAGAATGACCGTAACGAGGAACGCGTTGCTGACACCTACGGTCTGGAAGAAATAGGTTGAGTAGCTGGAGTCGTTTGGTCAGCAAAGGGATCTTGGGAGAAGGATACAGAGAGCTGGCTTACCCTGAAAGGAAAGCAACACCAACCAGCTGTTGGCCTGAGGCAGAAAGAGTAGCGATCATGGTTCGGCGAAGGTCGGTCCCCCTTGAGACAGTCCATATAAGAGGCCGATGTTTCGTATTGCTTCTCCAATTCTATGAAGTTGACAATGTTCTTCATCTCATTGTCGAGCTCTTCCCTTTGAGCATGTTGGCCACGGAGCTTCATGAGGGAAGCTTTGGCTTCGTCGATACGGCCTGCGGTGACGAGCCAACCTGGAAGAACTGGTTAGGGAACTGCCATCTCTTCACATAAAACACGACGGGAGACTAACGGGGAGATTCAGGGAGCCAGTAGATCAGAGACAACAAGACCAACGGCGCTAGTAGCGTGCAGATAAGCGGTATTTGGTATGCCAAGTTGGACGAGATCTTGTAAGTGCCCTGGTCCACACATGCACCAATGAAGGTCGGAATGTTAATGAAAAACTGGTAAAAGATCACAATGGAACCCCTGAGGTACACTGGAGCTGCCTCCGACCAGTACGGAATACAGAACTGTCCTGTGAAACCGATTGCCAATCCCATAAAGGCCTTGCCGACAAGGGTTGCTGCAAAGTGCGGAATCATCTGGATGCAAGAACCGATCAGGCCAACAATGCAGGTAATAATGAACCCAGCCTTGCGGCCAAACTTGGAACCAATGGGACCCGCGACCATGGCAGCAATGAGGATGAAACCAGTCAAAACACCACTGAGTGATGTTTGTCTTCCTGCAGTCATGGCATATTTTCCGATTGCTTCATTGTAGTATCCAAAGCTTCTGTTATACGCTGCATGTTGTCAGCCACATGGAACTTTGCCACGTCGAAAATGCAATGAAAGTATACCTTGCATTGCCAAAAAGCTACCCTTATTGTTAGCGTGCTCCTCGATACGAAAAAACATGGAGAACATACCCAGACGTGAGACCTTGATCAAAACCAAAGGCTGTAGCCCCTAAACCGACAATGAGACAGTAGCCAATGACCCTAAGATCGCTTCGGAGTCGCTCCTTGCTGATCCCACGCATCGTGATGACAGTGTATGTTGAGTCCGGATGAAGAAAGAGGAGAAGTTCGCTTGGTTCCAGAGACGCAATTGCAGAAGATTCGAATTCATTTTGCGAAAGATCAAAGGAATGGAGAGTTGAATATCAAACGCATCTCCCACGTAGTTATACTCGATCAATTTTTGCCAGTGGTCTGAGTTACTAATGTAAATCGGATGGGCCCCACGGGGAAGTCAGTGCTGTTTGAACCTGATTTGGCACACCGATACTCGTACTCGTACGTGCCTCGCCTAACAAGGTGTCCATTTCTAGCTGCGTTCGGACCTGGGGTTGACAAGCTGCGATGGGCTTCGGTGCTGCCACCGACGGTGCCCATAGTTTTGACTTCCAGACTAGCATTCGCCGGCGTGAGCTTAGTAGTTCAAAATCAAGTACGAGTACGAGAAGCTATTCTCCGTACTTTGAATATGAACGACGAAGCAGGCATCTAGCTAACGTCAAAAGCGGTGAAGTCAAGCTCCACGTGTAATCATTTCCAGGCATAGAAAACACCCTGAGATCCAATCAAAGTCTTGATATAGAGACACTATGTGAGGACGAGGCTCTTCGCATCATAAACATCTGGTTGCTTCCGACATGGCTAATCCACGGATAATCTATGGCTGAATGTCGGAAGTCGGGTAAACCCTAGAGCTAGTGTTCTCTCCCGCCCCGCAGTACGCGTAACATCCTCTTTTACTATTGTTTCTCGCGCAATGACAGTACATAGACATGACGGGATGCGAGAATTCTCGGGCGCGATGGCCGATAGCATAAATGCGAAGATCAAGCCGATAGAGCTCGGCGTCGGAGCCCGAATCCGAGTCTGAATTCTGAATTGAGAACCGGCACGTCTGCCGACATTCGGGACTGAGAACACTCTTCAAAGGCGCGGGGGGCCGTAGCGTGACTCACGTCGATCGTTGACCTGATCTCTGGCCATGAGTCGAGTCCTACTTTGGGACATACGAAGCACGTATCGATTCCTTGTTGGACCATCATACAAAAGTCACGATTGATCATGGCTTCAGCAACCCCTGCTGATGCCCGTAAAGACTGGCTCACATTATCGCCTGGTCCGGTGCTTGATATCAGCGCAAAATGCAAGGTCTGTGGCGCCTTGTCATCTACGGGTGTTGTCAACTTTCTGGGCATACCGTTCGCCACCATCCCGGCACGGTTTCGACAGAGCAAACTACTAAATCTCGAGGATGCATGCAACAGTGGGATTCTTGACTCGACAAGATACGGACCAATATGTCCTCAACCATATGACCCGCTCATTAGTAGAAGAATGTATCTGTATGAGGGACTCGTACCTCTTCTAGAAGTTGAGGGAATGCCAGTGATGGATCTGGAAGAATGCCTGAGAGTCAATGTTTTTGTTCCTCCAGGAGCATTGCATGGCCGGACTGCCAAGTTACCAGTGTACGCAAATATCCATGGCGGTGGCTGGACGACAGGAAATGGGAATACCTCTTCTGGTAGGGCTCAACTTTCCTAGTTTTCCGGCTGGCTGACTGACTGTCTCTCATGATTAGATGGCAATTATTCTGTTCAACACGCCATGAAGATTGGGAAGCCGTTCGTCTCTGTGGGAATCAACTACCGCCTGGGGTACCATGGTTTCCTCGGCTCCAAAGATCTTGAAGAAGAAGCGAGACAGAATGGTGAAGTCTATTCCCCGAACAGAGGCCTGTGGGATCAGCGAATTGCACTCTTGTGGGTAAGTTTACGGCGTAAATACACTGTGCTCCGACACTTGATGACTGTTATGATAAACATGCTTCTTAAAAGAGAGCTTTGATAATCATAAGGGGCTAACCGATATTATCAGATTCGGAAGCATATTCACCACTTCGGTGGTGATCCAGATCAGATCACTATTGCTGGTGAATCGGCAGGAGCATTCAGTTCTTGCGCACATGGCTTGTCCGATATTCCCGTCTGCAAAAGAATCATCATCCAATCCGCTCCAGTTTGGAAGTTTGCAGATCCCGCTCTCGCCGAGGAAATTTATCAGCGTTTGGTATCGAGCACGGGTATACCTACATCTGCGTCTGCAACAGAACGACTGGCGGCGCTGCGTCAACTGTCGGATAAGCAACTGGAAGACTTACTCGGCGGCTCCTTTGCTCGACCCGTCTGGGACCCTAACTGGTTTGTACACCAGGACGTAATTACACCCTTCGAAAGAGTGACTAAATTTAGTCCTTGGGTCGAGGGGGTATTGGTAGGCTGGACGAGGGATGAGATGGCACTGTGGAGCAACCAATGGCATTCATTGACCTCTGCAGAGGTTGAAGCTTGGGTTCGAGATGTGTCACCTGACCCTGCATTCGCGTCTGAACTCCTCAAAGCCTACAATGTTTCACGAGATAACCCAGCAGAGATCTCGCTCGATGGACTGATGAGATTGTCATCCGATGGTGCGTTCGGGTGTTTACCAATCATGCTGGGAAGATTGACTTCTCCAGCCATCAGTGTCTTCAGGTTCGAGCAGACGGATGACAATCCTCAGAGCTCCTTCAAGGGTCGCTCATATCACTCTCTGGACACCGCATTTGTGCTCAGAACTCCTGCAGTTGCAGGTCCCGAGGCTGAAGAAAAGTATCGGACTACGGCCGATGCTATGGCCGAAGATTGGGCAGCATTTATATATGGGAGCCAGCCATTCGAACAATTCCAGAAAAGTGGCAAGGTCAGACTGTATAACAGCCACGGGAACGAACTTGTAGACTGGGCTTCCGACAAGACAAGCTTGATGCACGGATTCATTGATACCGAGCAAAGAGCCGAGTGGTTTTCGGAAGTGGGCAAACAGATTCTCTCTGGAAAGAACGAATTGAGTAACTCGCCGACAAAGCCTAAGAACTGCAAGACAGTCGCTTAACAGAAATACATTGATCTGTCCACTAAGCAGTAACTAGTATAGTTATTCAATTGATCAGATTGCGATACTCTGTGTGTAGATAATAGTTAAGTGCCTTTTAAACGCCCCAGCACTCACTCAGCTCTAACAACGTTCTCTTAAAGCCAACACCAACACTAAACCAAATAAAGTCTTTTGGGAATGTTCCTTGTAGAAAGAACCTAATGGTTCAGCGATTATAGGTTCATCCTTAAGGTACGAGATATAATAGCTATATCTACACAATTTACGCGGAAAAGGACCAATAAGTGGTAATACCCATTTATCTCCCTATCGAATCAGAGTAGATCCGTTTTATAAGACCGAGGCCTAACACTATTCCAGTCTATAGTGACAGTTATTACACATACAAATTAAGTCTTAGCGTTACTAGCGTAACTTTTATTTCATGACTTTCATTACATTAATAAATTATTAATAACTATTTATCTCACTATATCATTATAAAACCATTAATTCTTATCACTTTTAGTTTTATTATTTATTAAGTATATTTAAAAGTTTATCTTTACTTAATTCTAGCTTATTATACCTTAAGTATAAATTAGTAAAAAATAATTTATCTATAAACACTATAAATATAATCTAATTTAACTCCTTAGTACTTATTATATAGCTATAAATATTTTTATAGTATAGAGTAATACTTTATACTAAGTATTAAATATACTTTATAAGTATAGTTTTAAAGAGTAATTAGCTAAAGATATTAAAAACTAGGTTTAAAACCAAAATATTATAACTATTATAACTTAATTACCTAACTATAGTTTATTTATTTATAAACTTTAGTTTTATTAAGGTTTCTTATACTTTATCACTAAATTATATTAATATTTATTAATAAGTAAGATAATTATTTAATAATATTATAGAGTACTATATAGTTTAATAAACTATATAAAGTAATGAACTATAAAACTCTATTTAGTTATATTTAACTATTACTCTTATTAATTATAAGTTACTAACACAGTTTTAAAGTAACTAATCTTAAAGAGTGAGTCTAGAAGACTATTCTAGTGTATCGAAATTAAGAATATAAGTCTATTTATACTGTCACTATCACCTTTAATATGTTACATTAAACTATATTATATTAACTTACTAAAGAACTTTTATATACTTAAGCCATAAAAATAGTTTAAATCCTTTTAAATATGAAAGAAAAGATATTTATATAATAAGTCTTATAATATATATACACTAAATTATTTATTATATTAATATTATTAATTAAGCTAGCTAAATTAACTCACTATAAATATATTTAATATATATTATAAAATTTAGTTCTCACTAAAATTATTATCTTAATTAAGTATAAATAACTTTAATACTTTCTTAATTATTATTTAATTATTTAGAGTATTTATATAAAGTAACTTAAGACTATATAATTTAATAACGTATTATATAATAAGGTTAAAGCGTGATTTAACATAATTATCACTAAATTTTAAGAGCGCACCTATAATAATTTTAATATTTAGAATATAAATAAGTTTAGTTTTAAGGTTAAAGAGAGTTAAATAATAAAGGTCTTAATTTCTCTTAACTATTAATAATAGTATAAAACTATAATAAAGAAATAGAAGTAATTAATTATAATTAAATATATTAATATAGCTAAAGATACACTCTTATTAATAATTATCTTTAAGAGTTAAAATATTAATTCTAAATAATTACTAACTTAAATACTTTTTAACTAGTATTTTATAGTTAATAAAAATAGCTAAATATTAAATAAGCTTAGTCTATAATAGTTAATTAAGATATTTAAGCCTTAAACTCATAAGAAAGTAATAAGTTAGCCTTAATTATTAATTATTAATAGCTATAAAAGTTACATTAAAGCTAATTTTATTATTTATTATATAAAGAATAATATTAACTTACTAATTATATTATTATATTACTTTTATATTCTTTAGCTACTTAATATAAAAATATTTTTAGTGTTTAAGTGCGCTCACTTAAATAAGACTAATATAACTTTATAGCTTAGTATATAATATATTTTATGTTTAGAATAACTTAAAATATTTATTTATATATATATAAAGGCTATTAAGCTAAATAATATTCTTATAAAATAGTAAAATACTAAGTTAATAAAGTACTATATAGTTTAATAATATATATAGTCTAATAACACACTAAATCTAACCTAACTTACTTTAAAAGTTATTAATAAGGTATTAATATTATTATTCCATTATTTAATAAGGAAAATAAGGAGTTAAATACCTTATTAATATCTTTCTTTTCGTTTTTAATTATAACTTATTATTATAGTTATTTATACTATTATTTAATAAGATACTTTACTTTTATCTTTTACATTATATTTAATACTTTAGTTATAAAGAATATAAATTTACTTTTTAATCTTACTCTTTTATTTTATTTATAACTCTTTTATATCTTAAGTAATTTCTTCTACTCTTAACACTATTATTAAAGAAGTGTATTCTTAGTTATAAGTATTTTTATTATATAAATTACTTAGACTATATATTTCTTAATAAAAAATAAAAGCCTAAATATTTATATTAGCATAAAATCTAAGAGTATATTAAATTCCTAAAGCTTAATACTATTTAGAGAAAAGCTATAAAGTAATATATTAACTATATTAACTATTTTAAGTTAAAAGTGTTAACTAGTTAACCCGCGTAAGGCTGAGCACACTGCGCAAGGCTGAGCATGGTAAGACTATTAATTTATAATTAATAGTCTATTCTGTTCTAAAGCCTTCTATATAGACTCCCCTTTACGTCTATATAAGGAGATCTTTACCCTCCTTCACGGGCTTTCACTCCTTAAGCTCTCTAAGTCCTTATTTAGCTATCACTTAGCTAGTCATTCATTAATAAAGGCTTATTACGCTATACCCTTCCCTATTACGATATGACCTGGTCCACTTAACATAGAGTAAGCCTATAACTTAACCAATATAATGTGTTCATATATTAATAGTTTAATAGGGCTGTATATCTCGCGCGCTGATAGGCGGAACCTCAAAACACATTCCGTTTTGCGATGTCCTAGCGGGACGGGTGCTCCAAAACACATTCCGTTTTACGATGTCCTAATTCCTAGAGAGGTGGGCGGGGTTCTAGCATGGTTATCTATGCTGGATATCTTAATCTTTCTTATCAATCAAAGGATAAGAACATAAGGGTTACAGTTTAAAGAACAAAGTTTACGCAGTATTAATACTGTACCTATTTTAATGATCGATACAACTGAGAATCTGGTTCGTCATCGCAGTATGCGCTAAGACCAATAGTTCAATCATTTAAATGTTGCCTAATCGCTGGAAGGGGTGTCAGAATGACCACGAGTATCGGATGAACTACTCAGTCAACCAATGATTTTGGAGCCGGTCCTGGTGTATTCCAATGCCGCCCCCCCGGAATCTGTGGACATGTGAAGCGCTGCACACCAATTGACGTGTACGGATCCGGAAAAATGCGGGCCCTCTCATCTGCTTCGGGTTGGCACAGGTAGCCTTCGTTTTTACGCGAAGAAAGGCGTCAACTAAGGAACAAGAAAGGTGATGCATTCAATAGCTTCGTAACTATGCTCGGAGGGCGACCCCAGAATGGGTAAGGTAGTGTAAGCAAAGGTGGAATCAATCGAGAAGCTCTCAATGCGGCACTCGAATTCGCGGAGGCAACCCAAAGATTCAAGTCACGGGCTCCGGCAGCACGGCCAATTGTACATCATAGGCCTTAAGGGGGCAAAAATTTCGCGTATGTAATTCGGTCACGACCGAGTGGAGAGAGAGATGGCTTGAGTAGTGGTAGCCTGCATATACCAAAGGGAGAGGTCAGGGTAAATGAAATCAGTCAAGTCTAGTCCAGTCCAGTCCAAGGACTGGCTGGGAAACTTGTATATTCTGACGCTTAAAACATAGCCAAAGTTAGACCAAGTAATCTCGACCGTTAGAAATCAAGAGAGAAATGCCCAGAGTTTCTCTCAAAGCACATTGGTATGTGAAGTGACCTTTGCAGTTTTGTAGAGCATTATCGCATTATTTTTTTCAGCCTGCGATGTTCTTAGTATTAAACTGTTAGGATCGCAAACTATTGGCAAGTACGAGGATTGGAAAGGGATGACTAATAAGTCTGTCTGAGTATTGAAGGCCGTCTGAACGGCCTGCTGATATTAACTGTATGATCTCGCCACATGAACTACTCGTTGAGGAGTGTTATGAAATTCCGGCATGTGCCTGTTATGAGGCATTAAATACCATGCTGGGTGTTAGACCGTAAGCATACAAGGAATGGAATGGGTGAGTCCGCATGAAATAACATAGCATCGCCATCTGCCGCCCAACCTCAACTGTGTCCATCACTCAGCAAACCGGGCCTCCTGAAGTGTCTCGTTATTCTGTTCTTATGCGGGTCTGCGTTGATGACATGGCCTTCTGAGATGTCAGAAGGATGTAACACATTGCCACTGAACTTGAATCAGTATGGACGCGACATGAGATTTACACCTCAATAAAGACTGTTTGGAATACAGCTAAAGATACAAGGAAGTGTTACAGAGTCGCAATAAATGCAACACAACTCCCCCTTTCTACCGCAAGTACACTGCTGGTTTCGTCCAGCCGTGCTGTCGTTATTATCCACTTCCGTGCTATTTCCATTGGAGCCACTATTTATCGGAGATGCAATAGTGTGTAGGATATTCCAAATGAGGAAAGAGGCACAAAGAAGGCTTCCGCTGACTTTCATGGTTTCTTCGAGATCTCTTTGATTTGGCCTGTAGGAAAAATATGAGAGTAGGGAGAAGAGAATTAGACAATACTGTAACAGTTATCCTTTATATAATTTTTCATACCGTTACATTACTCCTCTGAACACAGCTATTGGACGTATGAAAGTGCCTCCGATGAGGAGAATATTATCCTGCCGATAAAGCTCGCTTATTCTACGTCGACTGTTTTTTAACAACGCTCGCCTCGGATGTTGGATAGTATCGAAGAAATCCCTCCTTTGACCCGCGGAGTCTACTCACATGTGGAGAAGCTTTTAGCCAAAAGTACTGACAGATAGCTAGAAATAAGCAAGAATCTTACCTTATTGCTTCTGACTTGGTGGTGATGTAGTAGCCTTATTAAACCAATCAACACCTATCATCGAAGGTAGATCTAATAGACACGTCGGCTATATTTTCTCTGTATACTCTAGTAGCCTTTATTTTTGCACCTCGCATAATTCCTTGACATAATATACCGTTGTTCCCATGTAAGTCGCGCACACAAGCAAGCTGTGCACTTGCCTGCCACCCGATGACTTCCTGCTCCAATTGATCAACCACAACACTTCTAATAAGATCAAACTATGGGATCCTCTTCAGAAGTGGAAGCTATATGCACATGACAAGTGTGTGCACTGTGTTCAGCATTGCCGCATCGTCCCAGCATCTATGCCTTGATCCACTCCCTTTCGCTGACCACTCTTCTCGAGTGTTTCTCTCTCTAGCTGACAGTCCATATCTTGCTGGCCAGTTAGGTCTTGTAAACCTCCAAAATTGAATGACCTTCCTTGCCTCACCCGGATATTTCTAGCTCTCTGACATTTACTTAGTGCTTCATTCGCATTTCAAGAATCTTGTTCTCGGCCTCGAGGAGACCAAGGCGGTGTAGTGGTTGCTGCAGACTCTTCACTATTTGCTAAATTCCAGTACAAATCAAAGGCTGGTGAGCTTTTCAGGAGATGTGCGATGCGATTTTGATAAAATACAACTATTATGGAGTCTTAGGCTTCCACAGCGGAGGGAGCCTACCGAGGCTCCTGGTGGTGTGGACGTGTATAGGTTGATATCGACCTTGGAAAACAACACTTTCGGCGTCTAATGGAGTGATGTTTGCCCTCAGGAACCCGCCCTGAATTTAGGATCGATGTTAGGAGTGGTGGCGTGGGGGGGGGACTGAGCGCCTCGCTTGGGAATTGTAACTTAAAATCTATCTTAGCGGACAATAGATGTGTTGTAAATTTTCGAGTTTGGGAAGGAGCGTAAGCTTTACTGTCAGGAAATGTTGATGCTGCACTAGACATCGTGCTCGAAGGGAGAGAGTAGCCTCTGCCGGCTCTATCTCTATCTCTCTATATGACGGATTAATGTAGTTCTTACGGTAAAACGAGACTGCCTATAGACTCTACGGCGGTTCGAACGGGAAGAAACGAATAAATAATCCTGCGCAGACACCGTCATATCTACCATATTTGTATGAGAGGATGACTAAGTTTGGATCCTAGAGTTCCAGGAAAGCGAGTAGGGGGGCCGATATAACAAGTAGCCTTTTTACAACAGAGCTCATTGATTCCTGTAAGCACCGAAATCATTTGGAGCATCGTGATACCCAGGTTCTCAAGATCATCCTGCAGTTGCTGCGATACCGTGACAAGAGGGCTTTAGCACTGGAAATTCTGAGACAGTCGTTGATCTTTTGCTGACTTCAAAACCCTACATGAATAAGACTATTTATCAAGCAGTCCAATCGAGCTGAGCCTAGATCAAATATGATAGCTCAGTATTTATTGATTCAAATGTCGCAATGCCATTACTTTGTGGTTTTGAAAGTCATGTCGACTGTTCTACCCACTACAATCAGAAAGTACGTAAAGCTCGATCCAAAGTTCATTGTGAAGCAAGCGAGAGCGTATCTTTGGCTGTACAGTATGTGCCTCGTGGCGCTAGATCTGCGCCCCAGTTATTGTGATGGATAAATAAATACGAGGGCACAAGGTTTCGCCTGTTTATGATCCGCGACCTGAAGTGGGGTTGCCAAGGGATGTCAAGTGCACAACTTTATACGCAATCGAAGGGTGTATTATCAAATGCCCGACCTCGAAACGCGCAGCGCTCGGACCGCACGAATAGTGGTGAAACGTCATGCTAGCAGCTACTACAACGTTGCAAGGGGTGAAACTTTACGAGCGAGCTATCTACTGTCAACAAGAGTGGCCTTTTGACATACTAAGACTGAGTATAATAGTGTACATTTAGGCGAGGAAGGCGTGGAGTATTTGGCCAACTTTCTCAGGTACTAGAGATCGTCATTTGGTGCTGCTGGGATGTCCCGCAGATCAGAATAATGATTAATTCTTTGATATCGGCCGGATCATTCAATCCAGCATCGCCAAACCTTTAAAGTCTGCCGATGGAGTTTTTATTCGCAAGGGATCATGAAGCGAGGTAAATCAAAGTTGATTGGCGGGAGCTGCTGATTGGAACAATTTGATCAGAAGTTGGCTCGAGCTGATCTCGCACGAGTTCAGCTCTAGAGTAGAGGTCCTTGTCCTCAACTACATGACCAAACCGCAGCAGCTCTTCCACATGTCACGAGAAAATGTAACCCAACAACAATGGCTGGCTTTCTCCTACTGGCAATATCACCCTCCCAAACTTAGACATGCATATACGAGAAAAATGGGACGACAGCTTGAGTTATTACACTGCACTGTATGGAGTCGAATGTGCAGACTGGGTGATCGTTCAATGCAGTACTACGACCTTTCTGTCCTTTTGTCTGCTCATTGTGGCAATGCTATAGTCAATGACTGTAATTCAGAGCCCATGAATGAAAGGGGTGCGCGTGACATCCTGAGAAGGTATCATGAATTCCTATCACACTTCCACTGTCTCAGTCGGCTTTCCACTTCATCCCGTTCGACTTTGACGAAGGAATGTACTCAGCCTCCTTCCTTCCTTTCCAGCAGAGATGTTCTCGTCAGTTGCTTACGTGAATTCTGTAGGGATATGCGACCTGACTATATAAAATCAATCATTGCCTTGTGAATTCAAACTGGTAGAAATAAGCGAGGAAGCAGCTGACCTCGGCGAACTGGGATCTCCACCCGGGCACTAAGCTCCTCTCAAGGAGCTGTCCTTTGGTATATGCAACCCAGTAAGCGCCAAAACATATGTGCAAGCATGGCCGCTCGCATCACGGTTTGATCAACTCCTATCCGAAGATCGTCAAAGTAGAATCCCCAATGACCCTTGTAGTATAGCCGTAATCTTCAAAATTTTCAACATGAGAAATATTTACTCCCAATTCACTGCGATTGCCTCCACAGTCTCTCGAAGCGATGTTGCATAGTTTCGGACTAGCCAGGACAGTCTTTACGCTTCTCCCACGCGAATATGGGCTTATAGTGCATAGCTGGTCATCAGTCGATGGATCGGACTCAGGTTAGCAAAGGTGACTCTCGAATATTGTATTCTGGATGCGTAAGTCTCCTTGCTCTCCAGAACAGCGCTCGAAGACATGGCGCAAATTTTGGCTTGTAGCCTGAGCAGGTGCTGGTGTTTCAAGCTGGTGCATCCATCTATCGACCAATCCTGAGTGAGACCAAGCCATTTCTTGTGAGGATCAGTCAATGTCGAACTCTCCATCAGAGGGGTCTCCGAAGCTGGGTGTATAAGGACTCGGTATATCCTTCTGATCTATTTCGTCGTCTTCATTTCCTTCGTTTTCCAAGCCTCGACGATTGGCACCTAGGACCCTTATCTTTTGAAGACGTGTCGTCGGGTTGCGAGGAGGATTTCTCTTCATGTCGACGAGGTCTCGCAATGCCAGCATACTCGAATCCGCAAAGTCAAGCTGTAGTGTTCGTGCATTTGCCGAGTGCTTGACAACTCTCCTATGCAGTACAATGATTGCTAAGCACGTAAGAGTGAGAAATAGCTCCAGAATCAAAACTAGTCTTTGAAACGTGATCTCCTCAGTCAGAGCATCGACACGAACGTGAACATGATGTTTCTCTTGTTCGTACCATTCCTGTTGCTGGGCAAGCTCATTTTCAATTAATTTCGTAAAATGAGAATATTGACTTCTGAAAGAACCGAGTTGATTGAACATTGTGGTGTTCAGCTGACGAAGAAGAGCATCAACGTGTACGTTCTGGGTTTGCTCGATCTGGTGCAAATAAACATCGAGGGCGTGATACTGCACCTTTATATACATCCATGAGTGGATGTAATTGGTTTCAAGGCCCTGTAGACGATTCTGCGTCATCATAAAGAAAGACTCGCCTGGCAACGGTGTAGTCCCCAAAGGCAATTGTATGGGAGAGATCGGAAGTTTGGATAGCTCGCCAGTGAGCTGGTCCTCAGTAGCACATTCCCCCATAGAATTTTCGTGGTCTCTGTCCGTTGTAGCTGTGAAGGTATTGAGACTGTCACCTTCATAGGAAGTCCCGGTGAAGGTATTTGTGGCCGTTGCAATTGAGTCATGCTCACTGGAGGACACCATGCAGCCTTCGCATGCGACAGAAGCACGTTTGCTTTCTTTTGCGGATATCATAGGTTCGGTGGCGCGGACGCAACCTTCTGCGGACACATCTCCTAGGATATCGTTTTGGCAAGACTCCCACAAACACGGTTGAGAGCCATGCTTGTACTCTTCCAACATCGTTGTCCCATGGACGTACACAAGGCTCACCGGGCAATAATATTCGTTTCCGTAGTGGTCCAGAAAATCAAGGCGTAAATACCGTGCCCATATTATGGGACTTACAATTCGAAAACTTTGTATATTCCTGGTATCGAGAGCTCGGAAAGTCCCCAAGGTCTTCCATTCTTCCGTCTTGATGGGGTATCTGTCTGATACGCTGGCTCGAAAATCTCTGAAAGTTGAACTGAAAAACTCAAAATTGGCTAGAACAAGAGTATCGATGGTGATGTCATTGCACAACTCCAGAACCAGGAATTTGTTCTTCGCAGTGCATTCATTCATCATATAAGAGTCCATATCCTCATCCAAAAGGTTGAACGAATACTTCATCTCTGGGTTGGTTGCGAGGACGCGAGCACAACTAGGAGAAGCATAGTTGTACCTTTCACCAAAACAGCCAGCATTTGCCTCTAAAAGGCCTTCCAGGCTGAGATCGAGCAAATTCGCAACACTTCTGTGTCGATACGTTTGCGACGGTCGGGCATAACCTGGGCAGTGAGGAGCAACAATCCGGAGTTCAGGATCAATGATCTGGGTATGGTCCTCAGGCCCATCTTTCTTCATCTTTGCTTTAAAATTGCGGGGCTCGTTATCTCGAGTGACTGCCCAGTCAACTCTTCAACGTCCAGGCACATCTTCGACTGCAGCCACGCACACTTTAGCCGGAGACGTACCAGTAACGTGACTTGACCACATAATTAAGACGTCAATGTGACTCGTAATATTTATCGGAACTTGAAGAATGATATTTGTTGCTCCAAATAACGGCGACAAGGAGGTAAATATGGTGGTCAAATTTGGAGATGACCCCGCATTTGCACGTGATATTCGATAGAGTGCTGTAGCGGCGGGAATTAAATTCATCTGTGTGGAGCCGTGACTGGCCGCTATATGTACGTAAGACCACGTAAACCTCAAGTAGCAATCAGAAACAAGTATCTCCGAGCCTCGTGGTCCCTGGCCGTTTGGGAACTAACAGTGAGCATTCCCCTTATGGCGCAAATATCCTTGTTCGATTAAGAGAGGGAGATAATTATATCCGTACTCCGTATAAGTTACTATGTTCCCTAACATTATTACGCTGTGAACAGGTAACCCATCCACATATAAAGTAAGTCTTAGTATAGAGAGCGGGTGAACTATTCATAGGGTAATCCATTCACATATAAAATTTAAGCTTTCTACACTTCACTTTTCCTATCGAGTAATTAAACACATTTAGTGCTATATCATAATGATCACTATAAATTTCATTAATATTTTTTCTATAGTTTATCTAATATACTTAATAGTTTATTTAGGCTTACTTTAAACTCTTTTAGCCCGTTATATAGATTAGTAATAAATAATAATATTCTAAATCCCTACTAAAACACTTAACTATTTACTTTAACCCCGCTAGTTTAATAGCTATAATTACTTATAACTTATAGCATTATTCTCTATATTAAGCACTAAATATATTATATACCTAGAAAGAACTTAAAAGAATATTTAAAGAGAAAGTATAGTATTACTAAAGAGTAAGTAAAGAGTATTAAAGAATAAGTTACTACTTAGAATATTACTATTAAGGTTACTAACTTACTAAATAATAGCTTACTTATTTATAGACTTTAATTCTTTAAGGAATTTATTTATACTATCACTAATTTATATAAATATTAAGTTACTAATTAAGAGAAAATATAGAGATACTATAGCTATAAATATAGAGTTAATACTTAACACTAATAAAAAGAGTATTTTATATATTAAAAGGTTATCTTATAGTATTTCTTTACGAAAGCTAAAGCTAAGAATTATTAAGTAATGTAATAAGCTTTTACTATTAATAATTTAAAGGCTAACTTAAGCGCTATAGATACTAAAAACCCTAAATCTTTACTTAGAACTTCTATACTTAGGTTAAATTTTAGGTATCTTAGTTAATCACTTTACCTTAATATCTCTTAAGCTATTTTATTTTAAGTTAAGAATACTATTTAGTGTAACGAAGTATATTACTAGTAAATTAGTGAATCTAATTATATTTTTAAGATCTCTTCATAATTATATAAGAGTTAATTTTATTATTATATCTTTAGTATAAATACTAAGGTAATAACTATATTTTATAAAACCCTTAAATCTTAATAGGATAATTTATATCTTTAGGAAATTTATATATTTATTAAGTAAGTAATAATTAAGGTATATAAGTTAGTTCTAAAGCTACTATATATTAATATTAAAGTGCTAAATATATTTTAATTAGGCATTATTAATTAAGATCTATTTTAAGCTCTTTAAAATTAGTTATTATTCTTCAAGTCTGTGTCCTGGCGCAAAGGGTGCCGTTTCGCGACGACGTCCGTAGCCGCTTTTGCGATCCCTTTCCACCGGCCGGCTCCACCTGTCCCTCGCCGCTTTTGACGATTTGACGTACAATCTTCCTCTCTCACCCGACCCTCTCTCAGACCCCCCTCTCTCTCTCTTTCGGCGTGTCTCACGTCACAATCTCAAAAGCATGCGTTGGCGACCTCCCACCCATGTCGAAGATCCTAGGAGTGAGACTCGTGGACGTCTCCCGAATTTCAAATTGTTTGCAGTTCTCCTGCCATCCCTCCGTCGAAATGCCCCCGCTCATCAAACGGAGTCGGAAGTCAAACTGGCTTCAGGCGACGCCCTGATGCACCTGCCCTTTGCCAACCGCTGTGCTAGCTGCACGAGCCCTGGATGAGATATATATACGACGGCATCGCCAACATGCCGACCTCACTTTCGTCACTTCCTCCTATTCCTCTTCACTTGTCCGATCCGTCCCTGCGTATGCTCAAGCCACATGCCTCGCCGAAAGAAGTTTACCACTGTCAACCTGAGTTCCGGGGGTTCATACTCCGGCCATACTACTGATGACGTCTGTACACTTGACGTCCTCGCCCGGAAATATGAGGAGGCCTTGTTGGAAACCCGTCCCACGACGCTGTATGCACCGAATACTATCTACCACGTTGACCGCATTCAGCGCCTCTTCGAGGAGTACGTGCCATGACCTGATAGTTGGGGACATCTGTTGACTCTGCAAAGATACTGTGACAAGTTCCAGCTTGATCCACAAGAGACCCTGCGCGAGTGTGCCACGGCTCGGATGGAGAACTTCCTACATTGGTTGCTCCGGACGTACACGATCAAGAAAACCAGTACACTGACGACCTACTGGCGGCAATTGAGTCAGCTGTACATTATGTGGACACAGCGTCGAATGGACCCGGCTGTCATGAGGCAAATCTTCGTGGTACGTAACACAGGGAATACTGTATACCGCCAGACCGCTGAAGCTACAGTTCATTGAAGGGCCATTGACGGAAGAATATGGCCTGGACAATGAGGAGATCGAGAAGCCTCTCATGGAGGCGGACGATTTCGTCGAGCTCATCCGTTACCACTGGGCCTCGGATATCAACTGGTTTCCCAATGAACGGCAACGACTCCAGTTGGCGGCGATTCTGTTGCTGGCAGC